ATGGCAGTAATAATTTGTTGACACTCCCTAAACCTCTCCACTCTTTCATCATCCCTGCTTTTACGCCTGCCATCCTCTCTTAAAGAACTGATGTTAGCGGTGATCAGTTTAACAGCATCCATCAGCTGCGGCTGCCAAGAAAGACATTAGTGGATTAAAAACAGAGAGGGGGAGAATAAGGGAGCTGTAGAGACGGCCAGAAACAGTACAGAAATGAAGAGCAGGAATAGGGAAATAAAGAAAAAGTAACCAGTGATTTTAGCTCACGGACACTCAGCAGTTATTGATCCACTGCTGCCTCCTTCACTAATTACAAATATGTTTTTTTTTTCACTTCATTAACAGATTTGTTTAAAAAGATTGAATTCCTTCAGTGATATATGTTGACCACAGGAGGCAGCAGTGGACCAGCAGCTCCTGTGTTAGTTTATGCCTTCAGAATGACGACCAATTGCACTTAAAAAAATTCTTCAGCTCGTGTTTTTTCCGCTGCGTCCACAGGTTTTTATCTTTACTTCTGCACCGTGACTCAGCGGCAGCTCATCATGACTCCACGTTGATGCAGCGTCTGTTCCATGATGCAATTCTTGACTGCTGCTGATTGTTAGCTTGCTTCATCTAGAGTCAAATTCCCTTTCCTCAATCCCCCTCTCTTTTTGTGGACAAAACTACCCAGCATGGGGAAGAAAATAAGGAGATTTAGGCAAACTGAGGTGCATTATGGGTAAAAATAAGAACAAAATGGGTCAGCGAGAAGAAAAGAAGCCTGGAGCTTGTTGATGACACACTGACAGAGTTTGTGTGTGTGTTTCATGTCAAATAATGAAGCAGCTTCTGTTTCAGAGATGATCTCTGCTCCGCTGCTCTCTTGTCTCTCTGTTTTTAGAGCAGAACAAATGTTGATGTTGGGAAATTTGATTTAGACTCAGCTGGATCAGACACTTTAAAACACACACACACACACACACACGCGCGCGCATGTTATCCAATAATAATAGAAGTAAGCTAAAAATACAGCAGAGATCGTCAGAACTGAAACAGTTTGATGTTTTCAGAAGGTTCAAAAAGACGACAGTGATTTAGGGTTGACTGAATGAGGGTTTGTTTTTTTTTGTGTGTCTCTTGATCAACGAAATGATTAGAACCGGGTGCAAAACATTAAACTTATAAAATAGAATACAAATAACACTGTAAATACTGTTGTGTGTATGTGTACGAGTGCGTGTGTGTGTTTGTGCGCGTTTTTTGTGTGTCTTTTCCCGGCAGTTTCCTGTTGAAAGCTATTGATCCGTCCCTCCCTCTCTCTGTCCCCCCGTCCCTCCCCCTGTCTCTGGGGGGTCTCAGGTTCTCTCCATTATGACTGTATGGAGACAGATGGATGGAGGCTGTAAAGAGTGAGAGGATCATATGACCTGCCTGAGGGAGGAAGTGATGGAGGAAGGACGAGGGATGTTTTAGGATGGAGGAGCAGGGGTGATGGGATGTACAGAAACAAGAGAGAGAGGTGCATGATGGGAGTAATGTAACACCACAGCTCGATGACAGCTGTCGTCCTTCAGGCAGCCACCGAGGTCAAAGAGCTTCTGCTCCAACACAAATGTTTTTCTCTGTCTCCTCACTCACACTGGATCTTTGGACTGATGTTCAGCCTTCTGTTGTGTGGAGGCAGACAAAACCTGGGTGCCCAAACACTGGGGCGTGGACCAGCACTGGGCTGTTGGTACTTAGGTACCAAATAATTTGCATTTTGTAAATCTTTTAGTAAAAAAAAAAAAATAATTGAAAGATTCTCATCCAGTTACAAACATCTACTGACTGATGGTAGAAAATCAAAAATCAGTCAAAGTAATCCATTCAAGACAACAAATCAAATTGTCTTTAAATAGCAATATTTGACAAAACTGTTTCTTTTTCAGCACTATTTCATTGTACATTTTCATCAGTCTATTATATTCACCCATTACTACAAACTCAGAGTACATTTGTAGTTGTTATATTCAACAACTGCGGATGTTTTTGACTCTGACTGAATCCTGTCACCTGTTCTGCTGTGGTCTGGATACCACGTTTGTCCATACGAGAATTGTTGTACTAAATGTTAGCACTGCTGTGTGAACCAGAACCATTGTAGCTAACATTAGCTCTGGTGTCTGTACCAGGGCAGTTGTAGCTAATGTTTGCTCTGGTGTCTGTGCTCACAGCAACATATTTTACACTGAGTTGATACTGTAAACTTAAAAAAAAAAATCAAAATAACGCATCATTTTGAAAACTTACATTGATTGGGGAGCAGCCAATTAGGTAAAAAGATCAGGAACGGAGTTGAATTAAAACGACCGCCCTGCATTTGTGCACCTTCTAATGTAATAAAAACTCCATTACTTCCTGCCTTGTAGCGCCCAGAAGCCTCCGCTCTCTGCTGCATCTGCTGCCTGCACCAGCTGCTTCCTGTGTACAAAATGTTTATATTGTCTTCTTTTGTTTTAATGGAATTATTATCCCATAAGTAATCAGTCAAACTAAAATGTCTAGTCAGGAGCAAGTGCTTTGTGTTCTAATTCTTTAAGACACTTTCTAGACCTGAATGGATTTGCACGATGTACAGTAAGGGCCGAAAAAATGGGTTGGCAAAAATATGATCCATAAACGGGCTAAGCATTTACAGTAAAGGCTGGTTGAGGCTGGAAACGGCTCTTTTTCTTTAAATAGATTTCTAATCACGAAGGAGGAATCTTAAATAAGAATTTTGGAAATTAATTTAGTTTGAATAAAAAAGGTTAGAAAAGTTAACAAGGATTAAATTTTAGGAAACCAACAGAAAAACTGCAGCTTTAGCCTCAGTGTTTTTGTCCTTCAGTGAGAGTCTTAGCATAGCATCCTAGCATTAGCACGTCCATGTAATTACAGTAATTATCTACAGCACTGCTGGGACGACTGGAAATGTCCTCTGTGTCCGTCCTTTTGTGTGTCACGCCCCCTCCCTCTTTCAGCAGATTCACTTTGTTCTTAAATGGAGGCTCATGTAACACACAAACACACACACACACACACACACACACACACACACAAAGAGATGATGATGATGCCACTCCTACTTGCTCTCTCTTTATCTCGGTTCAGTTTTTTCTACCATGACATCATTGACTGACACTTTCAATTGAATCTCAACTGGTGTGTGTGAGTGGGAATGTACACAGGGACACCGTGACTGCTGCTGGTCCACTGCTGCCTCCTGTGGTCAGTTTGTTTCAGTCACGTTAATCTAAACAGGTCATTTGAAACGTCAAAGTCCATTTTAAACTAAATGGCGCAGCAGGAGAGTGTCTTTATGAACCATTGACTTTTCTCTCTGGAGTTTGGTTTCCTTTCAGAAAGATCTGTCTAACAGTAACTGTTGTGGTTATATATTCTCATGTATTTGATTCTCTTTAGTCTTTTACAAAGCGGTTTAATCATCTGTTTAGCTGTTGTTAAAGAGAAACCAACTCTTCTGATTGATTTCAGCAGCAGGGTTTGCTCACAGACAGTGGATGTCGAGGATGTTCATCATCAAACGACAGCTATTAAAAAAACTGAAGTACTTCTTTAAAGTATATTTGAAATAGTCGCGTGCTGTGTCTCTCTCTGCTCTGTTGCATTTGTGTGTGGTTTCAGTGCATGAATTATGAATCTACCTTTATTTCTGCTAAAGTGCATAAATGTGTGTGTGTGTCTGTCTGTAAGAAGATATAAATTATTCAGCAGGATGTTATGCACTTTGGTTTAATATCCCTCCATGAGTCACATATGATCAAACACACACACACACACACACGCTCTGGCTTTTATGCCTTGTGAGTTCTTCACATTGACTTAATGGATTCCCTAGTTCTTCCTCAAACCTTAACTGTGAGAATTGTCTAATGTAAATCCTTGACCCAAAGTTAGTCTGACCCATATTTAACCTCCAAACAACACCTTCAACCTTAAAGTACTCTCTCACTCTCTCTCAGTACAAAATATCTCCAGAACAGAAGGATGTTAGTGTCCCCACAAATATAGCTATACCAGGTATACACACAAACACACACTTACTCAGAGACAGGGATGAATCACTGGTGCTTGAGGTCAAACTGAGGCCAAAAATCTGTTCCTTCAAACTGTAGTCAGTGACAGGTGATTGGGCGGAATCAGAGTCTTTCTAAAGAAAGACGCAGACGTGACTGTAGAACAGTGCAATAAAGATAGTAGAAAGAAACTGCAAATACTGTTTAAAAATAACCTGTATATTAGCCCTGAGATTGAAAATGTTAGCCAAAATACAGCTGAAAGATAGCATTAAATTGCATCAAAATGTAATCAGGCAGATTAGTTTAGAAAAAAATAAATCTAAATGTTAGGCAAGAAAAGTACAACTGGGCTATAAGCATTACAAAAAGTATTTTGCATTAATGCATTCTTAAATTAAAAAAATGTAGAGGAGAAGAATAAGAGGAAAAACAGATTTTAGTTCTTTATTCTATAAATAAATCACTGTAATGGTTCTATGACCTGGTGGGTGGGGCATGTTGACTCTGCCCGGCGACTGATCATTTTTCACAACCTGATTGGATTAAACACTGGGGCAACAACTCATTTCTCTGACATGATTAGATCAGGGCTGAGGCCGAGATTTAAATCACGTCACTGCTTAACAGTCCATGGTTGTGTCAAGGTGGACATGAGTGTGTGTGTGCGTGTGTGTGTGGAGTGGTCTTGTGTCATAAAGCACTGATGATGTCATTTCCTTACTACCCGGGGTTTTGTTAATCAACCAAAAGCACCTGCTGTAGTGCTTTCAGCTTAACGCAGATTACTCCCTCCCCCCGCACCGAAGTCTGTACAGAAGATCAGTGATTTTAGCTCACAGACCAAAGTCTGTACAGAAGATCAGTGATTTAACTTCACGGAGACACTGCTTCAATGATTGACCATATTCTCAGTGTTTATGATTATTTCCTTTTCCTTTTCCTTTCCTACAGAATAGAAAGTGAGTTGGTACCAAGGGTGGAATCTTCTACCATCACCACAACTCCAAACTCCAGGAATACAGCGATTAAAGAACTTCCGAAGTCGGTGTTCTGAAAAGCTTCACTTGCCTTGGGGGCCTCAGACCTTCATGCGTCTCCCAACGACAGAGTCCACCCACACCTCCACCATCTCCACCATCATCCACCAGACATCCTCCACCATGAGCTGTGACAGAGAGTTCGGAGATGGAACCACAGGAGTCACACTCACACTGAGATTACTCATGCACGGAAAGGTTCAGCACTTCCTGTCTGCTTTGTCCCCGTTTTTCTTTTTTGTACAGTTTTGATCCTAACAATGTTAATGTCATTCTTCCTTACAGGAAGTAGGGAGCATCATTGGAAAGGTGAGTCTTGAAAATGGATCTGAGTTTTATTTATTCAACAATACAGATTTATTTCATTTGTTTTTTTGATTTATTTTTACATACCTCTGCTTTATTTTATGCTTGTCTTAGCAGAATTTCATTTTTTTTTCTCCTGTTTTCTTTTTATTCTGTCTACTGTAATAAAACAGGATCCTCTCATTACATGTCTTGTAAGACATTTTTGCAGCATTAAAACATTTATATGCTCAGCCCTTCCCCCTCAGTCCTCTTCCATCTACAACCTGCATATTTAAAAGTCCAGGATTTTTTATATTTAATTTTCCCCACATCAGTATGCTCCTCGTGCCTGTGCTGCCTCTAATCTCTGCTGCACAGAGATAGAGATATTTAAAGTTGGCGTGTAATGTGTATTAGCTGTGTGTAACGTTTCCTGTCAGTTCAATCTCCACTCACTGAAAAGGAGCCAAATGAACAGGAGCGTGTTAAATGAGAAAAATAAAACCCGCAGGATTTTATTTCTAATCTAAATCACAGCTGAGTGGAGTCTGATAACCACCCTTTCAGCTTATATTTAGATTTTCCTCCCCATAATTATCACCATGAGTGTGCACTAACTCTATAGAGTGATCCAAAGAAAGAAAAAAGAGAAGAGTTGGTCTTAGATTTTCTCTGGTGTATAAGACTAAAATAATAGCTGAAAAAAGGAGCTGCAAATTGTCTGCAAATTCAACAAGAATATCTGAACCAGACTAAATGTTAGATGAATGTTTGACAAAATCAAATAAAGGCTAGCACAGAAATTGTGATTAGTTTGTATTTGTAATTAGTTTGACTATAGTAACTAAAGTTTAATAACATAAAAATAGAAAATAGCCATTTTACGTGATAAAAAAAAGATTTAAAAAATCCACCCACAATCCTATTGCTAGCATTTGCCTTTAGAGCATGTTCTCATTTGAAGCTCTTTTAAAAAAGTCACTTTGACCTTCAATGTCCATTTGCTGTTTCCACAGAAAGGTGAAACTGTGAAAAGAATACGAGAAGAGGTAAAATCCACCTTTTCATTGTTGTCCTCTGTCTTTTCTGTCCTTTCATCCTTTGCCACATTTTCTGCTGATTCGTTTATATCTAATGGCCAAGGCTAATTGAAACACAATGTCATGTCAATGCTAACTTAGAATAGTCTTTGAGGTCGACATGTTAGAGTTTTAAAAGTGTATTATTTAGCACTTCTTTTCTGCTTCTTGTCAGAAAGACAATGCTAACTCACAAGCTTGCAATAGTTGATTTTATTCTGTTTTTCAGATTAACATTGGCATTGTAAGATCAGCTAGATAGAGAGAGAAACATTGTGTTATAACCTTCTGTTAGCACCTATCCAGCTCGCCTGTTAATGTTTTGACAAAAGAGGATATTACTAGCCTGTTAGCTGGAGAAGGAAGCAGACAAGAAAAACCTTTACAAATCAACTTAATGTTTAAATGCAAACTGGCTGTTAGCTTTTTATAGCTAGCTTTACGTTTGGTTTAAAAGTGATAACTACTGACTATTTGACTCTTTATCTGCAAACTAAAAGTGCTAAGTAAAGATTGACTTACTGTCCGTTATATTTATACTTATGCATATTAGCAAACCTAGTAAAATAAGGATTAGACTTTTTAGGCTTTGTTAGCTCATTTTGCTGTTGATGCTAACAGGCAGGGCCATTAAAGTTGTTAGCTTTTTACTATTTGAAACCAGACTAGCTGCAATAGAGTTTTGAAGGCTTTAAACATACATGAAAAACACAGCAGTGGATCTATTAGCTTATTAAGATAATTATGAATCAAGAAGGTTCCCTGTTGAATTATCTGTTCATTTTGGTTCTGGTCTATATTCTGCTCTTAGTTCTGATGCTAGTTGTGGTTTTGGTCTTAGTCCTGGTTATATCTCCATCTTCTTATTTCTCTTCAAATATTTGCTCTACCTTGTCTTTCTCGCCCCTTCTCTCCTTCCACTCATTTTCTATTTAACAAATCTATCCCCTACTGCTTCCTCTCTCCTATCCTCCATTTCCTGGACTTCACTCATCTCCTCCTCCTCATCCTTCAAATCATTTTAATCTCTCTCTCCTGATAATCTCCACAAAACTCATTTTCCTCCTTCTCTACATCTTCCTCCCACTTTCTTAAAAACCTTGATATTCTCCACCCTTCTTCCACCCTTCCTTATATCCTTCATTCCTTCTTCCATCTTTCCTTCCTTCCTCTCTCCAGCTCTACTGTGATCCCTAGCTCCTGCATCACAGGCATCTCTCCTTTAGTGTCAGTTTAGTTTAGTTAAAGAGAAGGCAGGTTCTATTCCTTTTGGTTGTCCTCTTCCTCCTCCTCCTCCTCCTCTACTAATGTGTTTGCTCTCTCCTCCCTTCATCTTTTCTTCTCCTTGTGTGACTCACGTCCTCTTCTCTCATTTGCCTCCCGTACCTCCTCTAATGGATTGTCCTCATTTTCCTCCCCTTTCGCATTTTCCCATCCTCCCTCTCTCCCTCCTCACTTCTTCGCCTCCTCCTCCCTCCTTTCTGTGACTGCTCCCACTCTTCGCAGAGCGGCGCAAGGATTAACATCTCTGAGGGCTCATGCCCGGAGCGCATCATCACAATCACGGGACCAACAGAGTGTGTGTTCAGAGCCTTCACCATGATCGTCTTCAAAATGGAAGAGGTGAAGATTGAAAGTGACAGAACTTGTCACGTAGTACCCTAGTGACCTCAAGAGAAAAGTTTAGGTTTGATCTACTTGTATATGGTAGATATGTGGCTGCTGCCTCGTGTGGTCATGACAGAAAATAATGTCACCTTATGTTTTGGTCATCTTTCCAATCACATGCCTGTTGTTTCCCACTAAGAAACTGGAAATCCGCAGAGCACTCTCTCTCTCACACCAAACCTTATAGAGAAACTCTGTGATCAAGGCTCAAAGGGACACGGCAGTTACTTATGCCTCTGTCACTAAATGTGCAACTATTATGTCATGACTTTCTCTGTTCAGCTTTACCTTAGTTACAACAATGACCACAGGAGGCAGCAGAGCACTAGCAGCAGCACCAGTTTCCCTGAGGTCTGGAGAATGAGTGGTATACCGATTTCAGTTCTTCCTTCTCTTTCTCTCATCCCACTCAGGACCTGACGGCGTTAGTGGCCAATGGCACAGTAACCAGTAAACCTCCCGTCACACTGCGCCTTGTCATTCCAGCGAGTCAGTGCGGTTCGTTGATTGGCAAAGGCGGCTCAAAGATCAAGGAGATCCGAGAGGTGAGCCAGAGATGAAGACTCAAAATTGCAACTCTGACTTGAGTCGCACTTAAGTCACACACAGAGACTCCAGACTTGACTTGGACTCGTGCTCAAAAGACTCCAGACTCGCCCAGCACTCCAATTTCGGGACTTGTGAACAATCCTTATGTTTTCTATTTTTGACCTATTAACATTGATGAAACTGAAAGTCTGACAAGCTGACTTCTTCTTTTGTGCGTGCGTGTGTCCGTGCAGTCGACAGGTGCTCAGGTGCAGGTAGCTGGAGACCTCCTCCCGAACTCCACGGAGAGGGAGGTGACAATATCAGGGAGTCAGGAGGCCATCATTCAGTGTGTGAAACTCATCTGCAACGTCATCTTAGAGGTATCACATTCTCACCCTTTCACATCAAAGGACATGGAAAAAATCTGTGATTTTACACTCACAAGGAGGGAGGGGCCACCTTCTCCACCTTCACTCACTCCCTATCAACATAAAACAATTATAATTTTTTTTAACATTTTCTTACAGTATTAGAGTCATTTCACACTGCAGTGTTCTCAAAAGAATCTGTGATTCTCACACTTATCAAACCTTTTAGACAAAATCCGTCCTTTACCAAAGACCTTTTTACATCATGGCAATAGTTTCAGTATTTACCTCACTGACACAAACTGGCCACTGGAGGCAGCATTAGACCGGAAGCTTCTGTGCCTGTCTGAGCTCAAATCACTGTTCTAAATCACTGTTAGCCTTCTATTCTATGACGTTTTACTGATCACCAATCTCTTTAGTCTCCACCTAAAGGAGCAACCATCCCGTACCGACCCAGTCCAACTCCTGGGACGTTGCTGTTGGCAGGAAACCAGGTGAGTGGACAATGTTGAATGGTTAAAACGGCTACGGCTGAACACACTTCACTGCCATCAGAACATCTGGGTTCATACATCTGAGACATGTGAGGACCAGGAGTAACGAAACAGTCAGTAATCAAACCATTGAACTCATTAATCAGCAACAGAACAAGTTCATTGAGTTGAATTTTGTGGCTTTTGCTTTTGTGGTTCTCAGTTGCAGTACACATACCCTCAGGAGTACTGGAAGATATACATGTAAACATACCACCTATTGAAAATAATATAAAACAGGTATTTACTACAATTCTTCAGGTCGGCCACATTGTGCCTGTGTGAACAGAGACTGTTGGTTGCCTCACAAGAGTTTACAGTGTTCAGTTTGCTATTATTGGTTTAACAAACAGTTGTTCAGTGTGTGACCTCCCCCCCCCAGTCCCCTGCCTTTCAGTTGTCATACATAAGCCAGCTGTAGCCAGTCTGTCAGTCTAGACTCCAGGTGCCTCATCTATCAAACCATGTGTAGAAACAGTTCTACATTCTGTTGCATGGGTTCTAACTGTAGTTTCACTGTTCTACCACTAGATTTTGTGCATCCACATGGTCTGAGCTGTGCCTACATTTCTATGCACAAGTACAAGTACAAATTCCATACTTGGAAAAGTTCATATGCACCAACTACGTACACTTCTGTGCAGTTGATAAATGAGGCCGCAGGTCGTCATCATCATCTGTACAGTCTGTGACAGTGCTCAAGTGTGGACAGCGGTGATGTCTCTGAGACGACAGTGAAGCTCAGCGTCCGCTGTCCTCATATCTGTGGACAAATCCCACTACAGCTAATCGTACTCCTGATCAACTTGCACTTGAACGAAAAAATGACATATCTCAAATTGTCCTTGTCTTGATCCTAAATGTGTTAACTTAGCCAAATCTCTGCAGATTTATGGATGTGTCATTTCTGTTTGTAAATATACTGGAGAGAACTGTTGTGTTTGATTTTTAGGTTCTGTGTTTTTATAATGATCCTATTTCCCCGTTCACAGACCAGCAACCAACACGAGGTGATAGGTGGCGCTCTGACTCATGCTCTGCTCTTCTCTCTGTTTTTCCTGCAGGTGTTTGAAGCATCAGACTTCAGCTCTCACCCCTTGTTCTCAGTGGCTCAGGCAGGAGTTGACCTGCAGCAGGTCAGTGGCTGCCATATTTATATATATTTATTGTAAGTCTACTTTGATGAAATCCCTCTTATTTTTCCAACATCCTCTCACTGCAGCCATCAACAGATCAACGAACTTTATCACCGCCATCATTTAATAATCTCACAAACAGGGAGGTGTTTAAGCTGTCACATTGGCTTGCGCAGCTTAATTTTATATTCTTTTTTTAATAAACAAGACCATTGTATCTGCACTTTTTTACTATAGGGTCCATTGTATCTGCACTTTTTTACTATAGATTCGACAGATGACAGATTCGACTTAGCTTGTAATGTGTGGCTACTTTACATTTGTTCATGAGGCAAATAAACCAGTGAACGGATTTGTCAAACATTAGAGATGGAAATGGAGAGAGTTTAGTCTGGTTCTTATTTCAGTCTAATTATCCATTGGATGTTGATAAATATTCATGTGGTAATGAACATGTATTACATGGATTACAGTGGTCATTAATGTCTGAGCAGCAGGCCTTTTGGAGGCTCTGTTTATATATTGGTGCTAAAATAGGCAGGCTTCATTTAACAACGTTAGATCATTGAACATTATAACAATGAGCTCATGTTGCTTGTGTTAAGCAGTAGCTTTTTAGGTCCAACGTGTGCTCATCAGGCTTAGCTGCAAATGCTGACCTAAGAAGAAGAGCTTAGCTGCAAAAATGACCCGCTGCAGCTAATCGTAGTCCACACATTTAGCTTTGTTTTCTTACTCTTGAACGCTAAAAATTACATATCTAAAATCTTTCCGGTCAGATTTACAACTGTTAACTTTTTTTTTTTTATGCTACTGGAAACATGTCTCTAATTAGCCGTGTCCCACCACAAATAAATAGCAGTGGGGGACAGGGACTGCTCCTCCTCTACTGGTTAATCTCTGTTCTTTATCACATGGTAAACATTTCTGGAGAGAACACTGGAGAACCTTTCAAAGTTCTCATCACACGCCTGCAGCCAAATGTTCCTCCCCCAACAGCACATCAAACCGCTTATAAATATTCAGTGGAGGAGATGAGGAAAGAGGAGGAGCTGCAGCTCTGCTCAGGTCACGGTCCTAAAACATCTCCACCTACACTGTTCCTCAGGGCTCAGGTTTTATTTAGCGTCACTGCTGTGCTCAGCCTCACACCATATGTGTCCAGTAGAGGGCATGTCTTTTGTCCTTATGTCTGACAGGATGTGGTCTCATCAAAGTGTCAACGAAGCTTTAGTGTCTCTCAAGGATGTTGTTTCAGGGCAGGTAGGGAAATACTGCCGACCTGTTTAGGCTGAGATTTCTTTGATATGACCGGTGTTTTGGACACCACATGGGGCCACTGAAGATAAATAAATAAATTAATAAATATATTATTTGTCGTAATAATGTTCTACACCAACCAAAACCCTAAACAGCAAACATTGTCTTTGTGTTTTCAGGCGTATGCAGCCCATAATCACTACAGTATCCAACATTCAGAGGTGAGAAAAAACAACTCATCATCTGTATTTACTGTAAATCTGTTTCCATTTTTAATGAAAAGTAGAGATAAGTGTACTTCTTCTTCTTTCTTCTCTCAGTTAGCGAAGCTTCACCAGATGTCGCTGCAGCAGCAGAGTCTGGCCTCCATTGGCCAATCAGCTACGCCCATGCTGTCTGGTATGTATGTCAACTGCATGGGTGTCCATCTTGAATTGTAAACCGAAGAGCCAAGAAGTTAAAGACATTAGCTAAGGAGTGAGCTAGCATATAATTAGCAGAACAAAGTTCATGAAGTCATTTAGTTTTGCGAGTTTTGCTAGAACTAGTATTTGAATTTTATACCTGGTCCATAACCAGCTAGCCTCAGGTATTCCTAACTAGCAAAACAAAATTTTATAATAAGTTCTGAAACTGTACAAAGGCTAGTTTTATTGTAAGTCAGAGTAGCTGCCACAAACTAAATCGAGTGTGGGTGGTTGAGATGGAGCCAAGCCCAGCTGTCAGCAAGCAAGGGCGGTGTTGGACAGTTGGCCAGTCCACACGTATAGAGACAAACCACCAATCACGCTCACATTCTTACAGATGGTTATTTTAGAGTGAATGACCTAATCAGTATGTTTTTGAGCTGTGCGAGGAACCCGTAGTACTTGCAGAAAACACACAGGGAGAATATGCAGTCTTTAATCACAGGTTGAACAGTGAGTCAGTGATTTTCTTGTTGTAAAGGAAAGCATTCAACTGTGGCCCCACAGATACATGTAAATGTCATGTCATTTTTCTGTGTTGGGAATTCCGTGTTTATCTAAGTGTTTTCACCTAAATGGCAGCTTCATTTTTTTGTGTTTTGAGGTCTTTTGAATCATACAACTATATATTTTTTTCAATGTCTCAGGTGGTGTTGAAGCCCCTTCTCAGACATCATCACAGGAGCTGCTCATTCCAAATGATGTAAGTGCTGATTGATTCTGCTGAATGAGACAAATCTGTGTGACCATGTACAACTAAAAGAAACGAAGAAAAAAGCCAAAAAAAATATTAAGATTAATATGCATTTGGACCAACAAAAGCTCTGGTACAATCTGAAAAACCTGGGTTGAAACACAGTATAGGGTAACTTTCATAGTTTCAAATCATCCCTGAAAAACCTTAGCCTGTAAAACAAACTGCTAACAGCACTCTGCTCAAAGCCTGCAAGGTGTTTCCAGGCCCTGGAGCGGAGTTGATGACAGCTCTCTGACTTCCTCAGGGACACTTTAACATGCCTGCAGGTCTGAGCCATGACCTGGAGTTTGTACGAAGAGCAGTCCATTCTCACCTCCCATACGCCTCACACTCTAGAGCTGCCCTTAAGGTTGCAGTAAATTATCCTGTCACTGTCAGCTGTTGGGTTGGGCGCCCTCCTTAGGGTGTAAACAATAAATAAACAAATAATAAGAACCATAGCTGAAACAGGAGTAGCTTTTTTTAGGACCAGGAAAATCCCAGAAATAGTGTACAATAGTGTACATGTACAGAGGAAATTGACATGGACAAATGGTTTAAAACTGAACCAAAAAAGAAGGATGGACATTAGCTCAGAAGACGATTTGACATCTGCTACATCTGACAATGACATACTTACATAGCAATAGACATCTTTTTAACACTTAGAGTTTAGGAGGTGTTGTCTTGCTTATTTCTCCAAGTCTTCTTCTCTTTGGTTCCTCCCATAGTCCAGTCCTGAATGCTAGGTGCTACACACATACTGTATGTATAGGCTCTCTCTCTCTCTCTCTCTGTGTGTGTGTGTGTGTGAGAGAGAGAGGGAGAGAGAGAGAGAGTCAACACTGGTGTAGTGAAACACATCAGTGGTTCATTTAAGCTGCTAAATGGAAGTGTATGATATGTTTGTTTGTGTGAGACCGTGAGCAGCTTAGCGACACCCTGCTGCTAGCGGTAGCGGATTTAACCACCAACAACTCTACAATAAACCTGTCAGCAGAGGGGGATCCTCCCAAAAATAGTCCTGACTCTGTCCTCCTCCATCAGCCTCCAGATACTTTTAGCTAACAGTTCCCAGAACCACATGCAGGAGTTAAAGGGTGAAAAAAAAAATACAAATACAAATACATATTTGCAGCTTCCTACCTTTAAGATGATATGATGAGAAGCTATCGTATGAGCAAACACCTAACAACTGTGCAATAGTGTAACAACATTATCAGTTACAGCTTCTACCTATTTATCACGACTGGCTGAAAGGTTTTACTCAGTATTAGTTAACCACTAAACCACTTAACTAAACCATGGTGTTTTAGGTAACTCATTAACATTAGCCCCTAATGTTTACCTGTTTATTTTCAGGTTTGCACAACCTACTGGTATTAGATGTGGATTTCACAACAACCTGGCTATTGTCAGCTCACACTGTTGTTTGCTGTCACGCATATTTATCAAACACATGCTTAAAAAAGCACACACATACTTGAATTATCGGTGAAGTTTCCATGAATAATCCCCTTATCACTTTTAAGACTAAAAGCTCTGTGGTCCACTGTAGAGGAATGTTTGTCTGGTTGGCCCACACCTAAAGCCCAAAGAGAATAGCTCTAATTTTAGCTCACACAGACACAAGAGCTGCTGGTCCAATGCTGCCTCCAGTGGTCAGTTTGTGTCACTGAGGTAAATCTGAACAGATTGTAACAAACAGTGAAGTCACAAAATAGTACTTCTGGACTTAGTGATGGAGGCAGCAGTGATTGTTGTGTCTTTATGGGATAAAATCACTGCTTTTCCCTTTGGACTTTAGTGTAGAAAAAAGTGCAGATTATTATTCTCGGATTATAGGTGTCATTTTTTAGGTAAATCAATAGTTGTCCCTATGCCTTTCAGGGACGTCTCAATAACACCAGAACCAAACTGGCGCCTTTAGCTAAGGCCATGGAGAAAATCAGTGATTTCTCTCATTTGCCTAAATGATTCACTGCTGAATCCATCTGTTAGTTCTTTGTGACCTGTGAAAGGAAGTAGTATTTGAAATTGCAGAACAACCAGAAACAAAGATTTGTATAAGCCAAGGAAATACTAACTCTCTAGTCTCTCTTTGTCTCTCTCTCTCCCTCGCTCTTTGAATGTGTCTTTTATCTCAAAGCTGATTGGTTCAATCATTGGACGCCAGGGCACCAAGATTAATGAGATCCGCCAGGTTTCAGGAGCTCAAATCAAGATTGGTAGTCAGATTGACGGCACCACTGATCGCCACGTCACTATCACCGGCACACCCATCGCCATCAACCTGGCGCACTACCTGATTACTTCATGGTAAGCTTTTTATCATGGCTTTTCATAATGCTAATGATGACAGGAAGCGTGGGAGCGTGTTCCCTCTTAGAAACTGAGGACAGGATTTTTTTAATGTCTAGGCAACAGCTACTTTACTGAAATGAAATTTGCTAGCCAATAAAATTATATTTTTGTATTACTTAACTCTTTACTTCAAGCTGTGCTCTTTTAGGCTGTTTTATTTTTATGTCACCAAGAGTTTTTTTAATTTTCTTTTGTCGAACAATGTTGATGCTAACATTTCTACGATTGTTTGGTTTTGTCCTCTTCTCCCTAAGCCCCTCCCACAGCCATCATCCCGACTTAAACAGCACACCTTCCATCCGAACCGCGAACTCCCTACGATAAAAAAAAAATAAAAATAAAGATAAATGTTTCACACTATAGAGGATTTAGAGCCACATGGAAACATACCCAGACTTTCGTCTTGTTTTTCTGAGATTGGGAAGAGAAATTCAAAACCATTCTGCAGTCAAAGCCAGGACTTTGTTTTAACTCTCATAATTTGGATTGGTTAGACATCTGATATTAGCATTTTTGAAATTTTAAAATGGTGATTTTTTTCCCCATAAAATCAAACTTTTCTGACATTTAAAGTCACAGATTGTGATACTTTTTCTCAGAGTTTTGATGTTATGGTTGCAATTATGTGTAAAAAGAAAAAAAATTAGAAAAAAAGTCTGGACTTGGGAGTGATCCTGTCTCCATCTGCTCCTGATCCTCTTTTATGGCTCCAGTTTTATTTTCCAACGTTTCCTCTTTGGTTGAATTATTATTTTGAAACTTTCTTTGTTAGACATGTCTTTGGTTTAACCCTCTAACCCTTCTCCATCCAAACCTCCTCCTCTTTTCTCCTCCTCTTATCACTTCCTCTCCCTCCTCCTCCAGTTTAGAGACGGCTAAATCAACTGCCCACTCCTCTTCCTCTTCCTCCTCTTCCATGCCGCCTCCTGTTGACCTCACCATGAGCTACCCTGCCTCTGCCTCGTCCTCCTCTCCTACCTCCTCCTTTTCCTTCTCTAGCTCCTCCCCCTCCCCTTCACTGGCAGCCGTGGCAGCCACGCTGCCCCACACTCCTGTCCTGGGTTCTCCCTATGCCTTCCCGTTCTCCAGCCTCCTGGGAGTCAAGTCCATCCCATACCTGGCCCTTTCTGGCGCTCCTGCTTCACCGGTAATCCCAGGATCTGTGGCGGCTGCAGGAGTCCCCGTTCAGGCACACGCCACAGCTGCGGCAGCACTGGCGTCCTACACAGCCAAGATTTCCTCCTCATCTAACGGGATGAAGAAGCCAGAGCGACAGAAGTTTGCTCCGTACTAATGCAGGAGGATGGATACAAGCTGTAGATGTCACCTTTTAAGAAAGAGGGTTTTTTTTAATTATTATTGTCTGTGGTTTTTAGGTCACTTTTTTTCTCTTTTTGTATTAGATTTGTCTGAACTGTTAAAGTGGGACGAGTGGAAAATACAGTGGAAGTTTTTACCATTTCCTTTCCTACATTGAATTGAAAGGAATTCTTCATATATACATGAGTTTTTGGCTCTTATTTTAGTCTTTCAATGCTTACCACAAAACATTTGGTGTTATGATGACACCACTTGATGTTTCCTGGTAAAAATATACATATATATATTTTTGGGTTTTTGTCTGATGGACATTCAAATTTGTTTGTGCAATTTTGCCAGTTTACAATTTTGTTTGATTTAAAGTGCTGTGTCTGAGTCACAGCAGCAGTTAGTAGATAAAAACATTTGTTTTTCATTTTGTCGCTGTCATCATTTTCCATTAGTCCCACTAAACCACGTTATTTCGTTTTATGACGTCGCCCTCCTCAGGTGTTTTTTTTTTTTTTTTTGCAGTGACACTACAGTGGTAAATGTTCAGGGGTTGAAGCATTTTGATCAAAGCCATAAAGACTTTTGTGCTTGTTTACTCTCTTATATACACAAAAATATTTATGAACTAATATTTAAAATATTCTCTCAGAGACTTTGAATCACTGTCACTAACACTGAGCGGAGACAGAGCCATTTCTATGACTGTTTCCTCTCAACATCCTGTCTATCTCCTTTTTACTTCCTACCTAACTTTTATCTACTTTGTCTCTCTTGTTTATATATGTTCATGTTTTTTCTTCATTTTGGTCACACTTTATATTAAGGTAAACATTTTAACCATTGAAAAGTTCTAGCCATTTTTAATAGACTTTTATCAGTTCATTTCAACTTTTGTGTTCTTGAAACATCAATTAGTAACTATTCTATGAGCAACTCTTATTTTCTTATTAGTTACATTTTATTTTCTGATTACTGTGATTAAAATATGTGAAGTTTTTTGCCTTGTTTAAAGTTTGTTCTGGGCTTACTTTTATTTATACTGATGTAGATTTTTATTTGTTTTGACCTAAACCAAAAAAAAAACTGATCTATGGTTGGCTAACCATACGCTTTATCTAAGCTATCTTTTATACGTCTTTTTTGTAAAAAAAAAAAAAAAAAAAAAAAAAAAAAAAAGTTGATGCTTATCATGTGAATCTAAATATAAAGTGTTACCTATTTAACAGGTTTAAACATTTTTTTTTTCTACTTCTACTCCATAGTTTTGGTATTTAATTTGATTTTTTTTAACTTATTAATGCAATATTATATTAACAGTATTGGACAGATTTATGTTTTGCCAGCACCACTGCAGATGAAAAATCTCTAAACTGGATTTTTTTTGTGTGGAAATATTTATGACAATAATAATATAATAATATAATAATATTAATCACTGTATCATGAATGCAAATTATGTTCTGAAGAGCTGTGTTTACACACAATCACATCTTTTGTGTTCTTTGTTGTTTTTTTCTATTCTTTTCTTTTTGTTATACTGTATTTTTGCACATGTGCGACTTGAATTATTGTCTATGCAAACACTGTGTTCATGCTCGGTTTCTCCAGGCTAAAAAAAAAAAACTATGTCACAGATCCGACCAACAAGGCCTCTTTGCTGACCCTCAGTGACACCCGGTCTAATACAATCATACAATGTCTGGAAAGTAAATATTTAAGAAGAAAAACTAATAATATTATGAATTAAGTGTACTCTATTTGTTAGTTGATGCAAGAATGTCATTTTAATTAACTAATTATGCAGCTTGCAAGCTAGCTAGTTTTTCTGACACTCTTAGCTGTTGTTTAGCCACTGTGAAAAGCACCTTGCTAAATTTGGCTAACTGCCAATGTGTAAAGAAAATAGAGAGGATGCTGAGATACACAGTCAGGATAGTAAAGATAATAGTTAACTAATTAGAATAACCTGCTGTAAAACTAATATCTAAGCTTTTGCCTTATGATACTGACTGGTTGATTTAAAGGACAAAGTATGCTACAATAAACAATTGGGCTTTTTATTTAATGTGCAAATTAGCTAGCATCTTTACAACCATTTGTTTTTCAGATATAGAATGTTTCTGTAATCAGCTTAATAATCTACAGTTGTTCCCAACTAGATGGCAACACAACTTTTATTTAAATGTTATGAGGATATTAGTGGGCTGAACAGCCACTGCATTGTTGTAGGTAATTTGATGCCAGATTTGGAGCATTTGGCAAACTATCAGACGTATTCCTGTCACCACCTGAGGCAGCAACAGGCACATATCATTTCACTTTCGCAGTGATTGATATTTAATTGCACTTGAAAAATAATACGTTTTTTTGTTGGCATGCCAGGCAAACATTTTTTGTTTTTACATTATTAAACAGTGAGTACAGACATGTAGTCATGTCACGTTTTATTTAATACCTAAACATAAATAAAATACTAATCAATTGTCAAATCGTCTGCTTCCGGTTTCTTCAACATATCACTTCCTGTTCCTGCACCGCGTTTGAAATGAATGAGAAGCAAGTGGAAAAGAAGGTAAGTCACGTGATATTTAACATTAAGGTGACTACTTTAGAAAAACGAACGGAGGACAATGTGTGAATATCTTCAGGCGATGTTCTTTGTATTATGCTTTTGAACTTTTGTGTTTTTAACTCAGTTGAGTTTGCGTTTCCTGCAATTCACAAATGGAAGACGATTCCTTCCCCGTTTAATAGCAAATCTACAGAAGAAAGGGACTTAGAGGGGTAATCCAGAGTATAAACTAAAAAAGAAAAATAATAATGTTAACAAGAATGGATCGCTGAATCGCCGGAAATAGAAGCATGGGCTGACGTCGTCAGCAAACCGCTAATAATAATAAACAATGAACTAAGATGGGATGTTTTTAACATAATCTTGATCAAATTAGGCTACTTATAATTTAAAAATGTACCTTAGAGGTTGCTGACAATAAACGATGATGACAGAAGAGACAATGGAGCATAAACATGAATAACTGGCGAGGTACTCTGAAAGTTCGTCTTGATACCAAACTTCACTGCATGGTAATACCCTCTGGCCCTGAATCCCATGGAGCTGGAGCTTTTTATCCTCTGCTGATTGAAATGACACGCCTTAAGGCGTGCAGCTCCTCAGCCCAGTAACGTTCTGTGACGTCAGTTTGTCTCATTGAGGTAAAAAATAAATGAACAGAGGACTTTAAATAGTATTTGGTGTAGAATTTCTGTTAAAAAATAACAATTTGGTCATTGCTGTGGCAGATTCGAGATGTAAGAAGGGATAAAAACATTCTTTTCCATGTTTTCTAATTTTATCCTCCTCTCCCTTGGCTTCCTCTCCATCGAACATCTCCTGTACGGCTCTAACTTAAGATTCTCATTGCACTTTTCTTCCTACTTCAGTTCTTCTTCTTCGTCCTTTGGAAAATAATCCCTCTCTTTTTCCCACTGTCAAGATTATACCCATCCTATAATCCTCTTCTAACTGTTGTGTTATTAAAGCCTCCTTCCTTCTTGTCTCCTTCACATTTTCGTCTTTCCTTCTTCTGTCCGTCTAATTTTTTTCCTGACTTCCTTACTCTATTCTCATACTTTCCTGCCTCTTTTTTTCCTTTATTCACTGTTTCTTCTCTTTCCTGCCCTAATCATCATCTTTTTTGGAGGAATGGGAAAAAGGAAAGGTAAAAGTGAAGAAAGAAAACGAGGTATGAAGAAGGAATAAGAGAAACGTTGGATAAGTAAGAATGAAGATACATGTATAGGAAGGGCAAAGAGATAAATGGAGGTAGATAGAAAGATATAAGGAGGGTAGAGAGGAAGGAATGTAACAATAAAACAAGGTCAGCATAAAAAAGTTAGGAAGGAATGAGGAGTCCAGAAGGAAAGGAAATGAAAGAGGACAAAACAGATGAGGGTTTTGTTCATTTTCTTAATACTCTCGGTCTCTATTGACTCTCTCTGTCGTGTGTGTGTTCTGATATAGACCTTCAGATCTTTTGACCCTTCAAGGTCAATGAGGTGTAGAGTTTCAGTAATTCCTGTAGCTTCTAGATCTTCTGTCTCCTCTCATTGATTGTTATGAGCCTTTCCATGATTCTTCATTAATATTTAATCAGCATTCCATTTTCGGACTGTACGTCTGTAAACAGAGAGAAAGTGGGGTTGGTAGAGAGAGAGAGAGAGGCTGTTTACAGCTAGAAGGGGTGGTATCTGGAGAAAGAGTAGGACTAAAAGAGATAGAAAGGAAAACTGTTTTAATCTTCATAGGTCAAATACTCAGGAAATGTAATGAGTTAAATATTTATCATCAGAACACATTTAACTGTAGTGATGATACAGCAGTGGATGGCATCTGCTTTGTACATGTTAGCATAGACCCAGATTTCCTCTGTGGGTTCCAGAGAGTTAGTTATTTATTAAAACCTCCCCTGTCCATGAAGTCCATTTTGTTAATATATTCCAATGGTTAGATGGTTGCTTTGTCTCACTCTTTCTGAAACAGAGGTTTCTGCAGGGGTCAAGAAGTCACAGCCAGGAATGTAATGACATTTTGGAAATAAATTGACCATGTTTTAGATTGTGTATGCTGTTACAATAAAACATAATGTGTGTGTAATCTATGTATTGTTGAAATAATACAGAATGAATGTATATGTATGTATGCATAAATGCATATAAAATACGATTATACGAGCCCTGTTTAATATACTCTATTTTATACTACATATTGCATTTTTTATTGATAAAACCCCTATGGAGCCTTGATTCACAAACACCGAATACCCCTTAATGATTATCATCTTTTTTGGGTTACACTGCCCTCTTGTGTTCCGGTTTGATCATCTTTATCGGCAAATGTATGAGTTTAGAGCTTTGGTACAGGCTTTTCTTAACACGACAGCAAACTGTAAATATAATAGAGACGTTAACTGTTTAACTCTATGATGTTCCCATCATTTTTGCTTTTGACATTTGTTTTTCAAAGCAAATCTTTTCTAGTATATCAGTTATATTAGCTGAATGAACCAGTAATTTGTCTCTGTGAGGACGATTTTCGTCTTTGTACTTGTTTGGGACTCATTTATTCATATTCTGAAAATGAAGCTAATGTACATTTGAGTAGGTTAAAGCCAGTGAAAACAAGGGCACTCGTGTGTTTCTACCTCTTTCCAGCCACAGGAAGCACACATACACCTACCTGTCAGCAGCTATCTTCAACAACCTACACAGCAGCATCAGCAGGTCAGCTCAGATGAAGAGTTGGAACTTGACTTCAAATGGATTACAGTGAGTAATCAACTACTGGGATGTTGTCAGCAGTTTGGTTGGCCTTTTGTAACGTTTTTTCTTTCTTTCTTATTTTAGCAAACTATAGCTACAGTGAGTGGCGAATGCTACCTAATTAGCTTCTTTCTTTTTTTATTTGTAGTAGTAGGATAGCACATTGCTTGGAGCAGATCTTTATTTGTATTGGCTTTAAATTACATTATTATATTGTGCTTAGAAATGTTGTAATTGTGATAAGTGTAGTACTTTATTTATCATATGCCACAGGGTCACATTCTCCAATGAGATTAATTCTTGCTCTAAGGCAGTTATAGTTCCATCTAGCTACAGTAGGTGGAGCTACAATTCCATATCGGTTTCAGTCTAAAGCTACCTAGTATTTTACTCAAATTTACCACTGAGTGCTAAGGCAAAAGTTTTCGGTCGTTACCTGGTGCTAAACATCATCATCCCAAACTATTAGTGTTTATTTGAAGTAGCTAGGCAGCCCTTAATAAAGCCAACACTTCCCTTTAATCTGCCACTAGCCTCTAGGGGAGAGGGAGTCAAACTCCTGACCCATTGGAGATTCTACACTGATGCCCTGCAATAAAACCACAATGGCAGCAGTGGGCCTCTGCTCATCCTAGACCCCTGTTCTAACTGTTGGTAAATTATCTGAGGTTATAAAAATGACACTTTTCAAACGTTTTACAAAGAGCATAAATGTTTATTACATGTTGTCTTTTTGATGAAGAATAAAATGGTCTTTTGTCAACATAAAAAAAATACAGCAGGGAAATGTGTTTACAAAAACAGATTGTCGCCAAGGACTGTAGATTGTTTGTTTAGTAAGGGTTTATCAGACCAATGACCATCAGAAAATCTTATGTACAATTTAAAAGAAGACAAATATACATGCTGTAGTTCAAAATGTATGGAAAGTAACTATAGATGAATGATAGTTAATTGCTGCTGTAGCACATTGCTAATAGTCACCAGTGTGCAATAGTGCCCCTGCTGTTGAAACATTACATCAACTTATGTTTACAATATCAATGTTTGCACCACTTTATCGCTGTTAGACTTTCACATCCAGAAACCTAGATTTGTAAAACCACTCACCCTCAGGCAGCAAGCGAAAATCAGTGATTTTAGCTCAGGGGGACAGAGGCGTTGTTTATACTGAATAGTTTAGATTTACCTTTAATGTCACAAACCGACCACAGGAGGAGAGAAAGGTAGTGGATCAGCAGCGTCTGTGTCTCCAAACTTAAATCACTATTTTTTTCTATGGAATTTGGTTTGGAGAGATTGGTTTTAAAACATCAATTTTCAGTTGTAAAATATGACTTAGGCTATTGGTGATATTGTGAACTTCTGTCATGTGAACGACCCACAACGCAGCTCAAATAACAGTTCCAAGCGATTGTGTGTGTAACTGATTAAATACCAAAAAGTGTCCCACAGAAAAAAATTGTAGTTTTCTCAGTAATTGAGAAGAAATTAAAAAAAATAAGAATGTTTAAAATAAACAAGTGACAGTATTTATCAGTTGGCACAACCAGCAAATGTTCAAATGTCCTGTATGGTTGTCACATCTGTGAATTACAGCAGAGCAAACACCTGAATGGGTTTGTCATGGAATTATATCATATCACAAATATGTTTACAGTAAGTTTTATTCTTCTTTAACATTCACTCCTTTATTTTATAAAATGTTAGACTTTTTTTTTTAATTAAACTGACAACAGCACATGTTTTTATAAGGGTTACAAAAGTACTCATCAGGAATTCTGCATTCACTGATTTACTGCTAACAACGAATATAAATTTGTTATTTTGTCCGATTTGTTTAAAATTCTCCATTCAAATTTAGGCTCCTAACAAAAACTGCTCACAGGAACCTGCACTAGATGCTCCTGTCCCAGTGAATTTTAGTCACTTTTTTTGTTCAATAGGATGTGAGAAAATGTCCTGTAGCACTAACACCTTTTGAGGTCAGTAAGGAAATAACATAAAATTTTACCAGATACCATGTTTGTGTTTTTACCACTGGTACAAAAATATGAGTGCAAGCTAAAATAGTTTCTTTAAATATTAGGGTTTTGACAAATTTCTGAAGGATCTGCAGATTAAAACCTGGATACAGTGACATCAAACCATGCACCATCTGAATGGGAAGCAGAGAATTCAAAGGAACTATTTTTTTTTCTGCATGCAATGATTAATACAAACTTAATCATAATGTATACCCTGGAATGGTTAAAATGATTACATCAAAACTAAACAGTTTGTTTTTGTATGACTGCTGACCATTGAACTGCTGCTTTCTACCAAACTGCAAACACAAACATTTCGTAATGAACACGACCGTACAAATACAGTACAAACACAATCTCAGTTTGGACAAATCTCCGTGTAAACAGACTCATTTTAGTGTCATGTAAAAGCTGTTAAAGACCAACAAGATTTTCTTTCGGTGTAGTTCCATGACAAATGGTAATCTGTAGTTGGAGCTAGAAGAAGGAAAGACTAACTTTAACTAGTCCATCCAATTAGGCCACTTAGTCACTCTTAACATATTCTAAACAGAACATCACTTACTCTTAAACACAAAAGATTATAGAAGAAATCAGCGACTTTAGCCAATCAAGACAGGAAGGTTGCTGGTTTACTGCTGCCTCCTGTGACCAGTTTATGTCAATGGGGTAAATCTGTATAATGGATTTCAAGCACCAAAGTAAAAAATATTTTAATGCTGAATGCAGGGATGAATCAACAACTAGTGTGGTCTGTGCTAAGAAAATCACTGATTTCTCTATAGATTTCAGTTTGAAACACTTAGCAGTGTCTGCGTATTTTCTTTTGGTCCCCAAAGGCCGCCATATATTTCGATAGGGCAAGCCTTGGTGTTATACTGATTCTCAGCATAAGAATAACTTGTCAGTTCCTTTTTAAATAGTTAAAAGGGTGAAACATGCAACTTCACTGATCTAAACAAGGCAAAATACAAAAAGAGAAAAGTTGTGTAGTGTAATCCACCATGATTCAATAAAATGTCAGAAAAACAAAAATAAAATGTTTTTTTTTTAAAAACATGGAAGTTCCTGTGGTGAGTCTGTACATCGTTTCTACACTTCTATTGAACCTCTCGGTGTCATCATCAGTTAGTGTCGTTGACAATCACAATCACCATATGCTCTTCGTCCACGCTACCTACAGTCCTTTTGGCGGCCTGCAGGTACTGCTGGGAGAACTCTCCCGGAGGGAAGGCGTACAGCATTGCACCAGATCCTCCCTCTTTTGAGGCAGGAAGACTTACAACCCCGGCAGCCTCCTTGTTGCGCAAGTAGGTCACCAGGTGACGTAAAAGGCGTACCTGCAGTCCAGGATCTGAGGATGATGCCTGGCGGTCGATGGGCCCCTGGAGCGCCAGAAGGATGGCAAAGCCATCAGGTCGTCCTAATTTGATACGGCGAGACACTTCATCGAGCCGTGTCTGGTCCATGCGTAGCCTCTGGGCAATCTTGAGCTGGGCAGGCTGGTTCTGGCCTGCCTGTGGTTTAAGGATCTCTTTCATGGCAGTGTTGAAGAAAGTGGAACCGCCCTCCAGCAGGTACAGGTCTGTAGGAAAGCTGCTGTTTTTCAATGCAAAGAATCCGTGCCATGATTTGGAGAGAGAGGCTTGGGCAAACTCAGAGAGTGTGCTTGGAGATGAGGTGTGGGTGTCATGGATGTTGACAGCAGGAGAACCAGCAGCTGGGGCCTCGCTGTTTCTGTGATGGTTTGCATGGTGGATGCTGGAGGTTGACCTCTTGCTGTGATGGCGACCAGAGGGTGGATCATCTTCACTGGAGGCGGTAGTAGAGGCATGACGACCTGCACTGTCTGGAGAATGGTCCCTGGGTTCAGTAGTGGAGTCTGGTGCACGTACCCTTGCTCTGTCTGGGCTCGCATCAGGAGAGTTCACTCCACCTACACCTCGAACCCTGGTTCTCCCCCTGTCCTTGTCCCTTTCTCGCTCTCTCTCCTCTACCTGCTTTTCCACCGAAAGGCTGCGGCTTCGCCTCTTGTTCCTCCTCTCTTCCCGCCATCGCTCCCTACTCCTGCTACGGCTCCTTGCAGATCTTGCACTCCTGCCAAATGCCTCCACGCCCCCTGCTCTTCTCTCCAGGCTGCGGGTGGGCTGGAATGGTTAAAATCTGTCTACTGCCCTGTCCCTCTCCCTCTGTGAAAGGAGGCTGTGGGAGGGTGGGGAAGATCGGTCCCTGGTGCCTCTTACCTCTCGCTCCAGGCTGCGGGTGGGACTGTTAGTAAAGTCTCTGTCTACTGCCCTGTCCCTCTCCCTCTGTGAAAGGAGGCTGTGGGAGGGTGGGGAAGATCGGTCCCTGGTGCCTCTTAACTCTCGCTCCAGGCTTCGGCGGCGACCATAGGCATCACCTAGGATGTCATAGCTTGTGGGCAATGCAACAGAAGGCTGGTATCCAGAAGGAAACTGTCGTGAGGGACTTTCTTCTACTTTAGCAAAGTCCACTCTCAGTCGCCGGTCAGGACCACCTAGAGGGAAACCCCTCATCTGGGAGCAGGCGGCCTGTGCAGCATCCAGACTTTCATACTGAACATAAGCAAAACTGTCACCTTTAACATAGTCAATATTCCTTATACTTCCAAAACGATCAAACTCTCGAACTAGAGCAGCAAGGGAATTTCCAGGTCCTATTCCACCAACCCAGAGCCTGGTGGTGGGATTGGCCTTACCATATCCAATTTTTATTGGGTTGCCACCAATGAGGCGCCCCTGCATGGCCACTTTGGCCCGATGGGCCATGTCTAAGTTCTGAAACTTGACAAAAGCATAGGCCCCACCCTGTCCTCGGGCTGGACGCTTGATGACAACGTCCTCAATAATGCCATACTTATCAAAACCCCTCCGCAGCTCTGCCTCTGTAACATTGCCATCCAAATTTCCTATAAACAAATTACTGGTTGCCCTCTGGTCATCTTCAGGTTTTAAATCCTCCACCACAGGCATCGCAGGAAAGCCGTATGGCCGGCCTCTCTCATCCAGCATACCATAATAATCCAACAGCCGCTCCCTCTCTCGGCTGAGACCCAAAGTGTCAAGAGCATAATGTCTCACTCTTAACTCCCTCAGGTTGCTCACACCAGGACCAGGCGGGGACATGGAACGCTGCCTATATGGGTATGGTGCATGCAGAGGTAAGTAACCAACATCTGGGGGTGTCACGCTCCGTCTCCTCACATACATGGGTTCGATTTTTAATTGCCGCTCACCCAGCATTAACCTAAAGAAAAGAAACAAAATGTAAAATTGTAAAAGTGTGCTAAACAAATGTAGACCATGCACACATTGGCACAAAGTTCAATTCCAACCTGTGTTGCCCTACGACGAAGTTACAGCTGTCCTTTTTAAAACTCTAAGTATACCGTATGTAAAAATTAGCTTTCTAAAGTTCAGTATATTTTGAAATATTCTGTGATATTTCAATCAGTAAACATTTAATTAACATGTTATATATGATTATAATTATTGGTCATATTTGCGTTTTATATGACAATGATAACTAAATAATAACAAAATCTGGAAAATGTCAAATATTTGTAATATCTTACTGGATAATTGTATATACCTGAATAATATAGAGAAACAACCATTATGGTGTAACAGTTAAGAATAGGTAGTAAAGTCTTACATTTTTTATGGTTCTATGTCCCATTTAAAGGTTACTTGTCAACACCTCTAGGTTTACGTATCTTGACATGATTATACAAACCTACGTTACAGTGTTACAGAATCTGAAGTTAGGGACAGAAACTATAAACTATAACATTCTGGCGAATATTCTCTGAATACAAGTCAGGTAGTACTTGTAATATTTTTTTATTCAGCAAATAAATAACACCACGCGGTTCAGGGACAAATGAGGGAAAAGCATTTGGTGATTATTTTCCCCCTGGGGGTCAATAAAACATTTCTGCCTCTGATACTGTTAACCAGTGGTAAAATTAGATTTTTTTATTTTATTTTAATTAAACGTATAACCTTTTTTGTCATTATTTTATGAAAACAATTGCCTTATTTGCTAGATGTAACAGCTTTAATACTGAAATGTTTTTGCATTTGTTTGTCCCCAACATGGCCCATTTACTGGATGGTATTATCAAACAGAGTGGTCTATACTGAAAGGTATCTCACCAGTAGATTTCGCTATTTCCAATGCAGTTATGAAGAGGGCAATCAGACTGCCTTAGTTTCTTGAAGACGTTTAACCTCGCCAGAAACTGAGACAGTACAGTTAAACTATATTTAACTGCTTTGGATAAGATGACCTGAATCACTGAGAACATACACAGACATTTCACTATTTCTCACCTGGAAGACTTCGCGTGTCGCGCCTCCTTGGCGTCCTCTGGGTGTCTGAAGTTGACGTAGGCGATCCTGCCCAGCTCCGGCGTATGGGAAAGCTTCACACTGACATCGCCGAACTTTTTAAAGTCGTGAAAAAGCGCGTCCTCCACGTCCTCGTCTGACACCTGCGAGCCCAGGTTGCTAATTAGCAGCGTCTTGTACTCCAGAGTCCCGGGCCTTGCAGCTGGCAGCTCTGCCGTAGCCCCCGCTGCTGCTGCTGCTGCTGCTGCAGTGGTAGTCCGCAGCGGTGGTCGGCCAAGGAGGCTTAGTTCGTGCCGGTGGTGCAGATCCAAAGTAACGGCGGCGGCCGCAGCTGTCCGCTCCTCCCTCATCCGTGGCTTTTCTCGCTCTCTGCTGCGGCTCCGGCGATGGTATCCACGACTCTCTGTCAGCAGCAGAGCAAGCGGTGGTGGTGGCAGCTCGTCTCTCCGACCACTCTCTCGTTCCCTCTCGCGCAACCTTTTAGCGGCGGCCCTGGGCGGACTGCTGTCTCTGCCGGCTTGGCGTTTCATTTTCACACGATGATGGAGCTCAAACTTTTCGGTGCCTGCTGAAGCTGCAGCGGTAGTAGAAGAGGCGGTGGTGGCTGTGGCAATAGCAGTAGCACCGGTGGAAGAGGGAATCAGATCCGGAGAGCGATTTTCTGAGTTTTTGCGAGAGTAAGGTGGTACAGGACAGCACCGGTAGAGTCGAACTCTCCACCCGGACGCTTAAGATCGACTTGTATATTAACGAAAAAAAGGCAATGCCGTTTAAAAACATGTCGGCATCACAGAAGCTGCACCACTGCCGCCATCTTGGACAATAGGGATGTTTGTGCGCTTTCGATTTAGAGGGCGGAGATTGTAGTGACGTCACTGTTATGAACGTCATGACGAAACGCTTATGTAAATCTATGTGCATCTTAAGGCGATAGATAGATAGATGGATGGATGGATGGATGGATGGAACTTTAATGATCCCTTGGGAAATTAAGGCATAGTTCCTGCCAAAACTGATGGCTGATGAAAAATGTTAACCGCTTAGGTTAACATTTTTCATTTTCTCAAAAGACCCCAAAAAAGTAAAAAAAAAGTAAACGTGATGACGTGATGTTTTGAAATAATCTAAGCATTCTAGAATACCTTAAAAGAAAAGTGGCCAACAATCGAATTTTTAATTTTTAATCCCAGAATTTTGAAATAAATTAGAATTCCCAGAATTCTCTGAGCCACAATTTTGGTTTTCCTGTTATTACTATTAAAGTGTTAAATAAATTGATTGTTCATTACCACGGTGCACCACAACTCCCATGATGCCAAAGTGGGTTGTCGTCATCAGCCATCGACAGCCGCTTGGTGACGCAGCGTGCAGCTGCCCGGACAAGTTTAAAAAAAATAAACCTCAAACTTTTTTTACCTCATACGGCGGCCGTTGTTTTTCCGCTGTAAAACCGGGAATAATTACATTTTTTAACAAAGGACACGTTTGAAAGTAGGCCAAAGAAGAAGTGGAGGTGAGTGACGGTTTAAATGTAAGTGACATGAGGCGGCTGTTCGTTTGTCAAGAGCACGCTGTAGCTGTGAATCTCAAATAGAGTTTGACAGTTTAAACACAAAACTAACGCGTACGTCACCGCGTTACCTCATACAAAACCATCAGAAAACAGCGGTTCTGGACTAACTTGAAAAATTCCGTCATGAGATAACAAAAAGTGAGGGGGCAAGTACCTGCAAATGAGCACAGGGCACTGTAATTTTGTGTGTTACCACATTGGGAATTATTAGCAGGAGAAAAAAAAACCAGTACCAGCAACTATAGACACGTGTGTAGTGAATAAAAATGACATTCTACAAGCGAGTTTCTTCTTTGCTCCAATAACTTTTACAAATCCCGAGGAAAAGAACCTGGGACTAAGACTTTTATAATTGCAGGAACTAGAACCAGATAGTACTGACATAGAGACAAAAACAGCCACTCATTGTTACAACTATAATAAAGACGTACACAGGGTATAGTTCCAAGAACTAGAGCCAGGATCTGTGTGTGCTTCATTAATTAGAACTAGTGCGGTGCATAAAACCTGGATCCAGAAACCAAGTGTTGGCCTAGTCCGGAGCTATTATCAGAATCACGGAGCCAGAACCATCATGAGTTTATATAGTTTTTATGAAGCACAAAAACGAGTATTTTTAGAGCTACACAGTTGCCTAATAATAACGGAAGCATTAGCCTAGCGATAGCTAAAATTTAAAGGACTGTAGTTGAAATTTTCCAGATGATAAAAAAATCTGGATAGGTGAAAAAAGAATATAAAAAAAAAAAATTAAAAGAACAATCCAAAAGAGAACAACAGTTTTTGCCTACCTTGGGTAAAAGCTACCTAAACAAGAACTACAACAGTTTTTGCCTACCTTGGGTAAACAAGAAACAAAGTAAAAAGAGTTATTTTTAACTATTGATAGCAAAAAGGTGACCTCAGATTTAGCCTAAAACACTTTCTTTGTTTTACACTTGAACTATATTTTTAACATAATACATAACTTGTATTTTTTCCTCATCCAGACTGCAATGTCTTCCGGAGATGAAGAAACATCTGGTGATGTTTCATCAGCTTCTGCTGCTACTGCTCCTGCTGTGGATTCAAAGGCAAAAGTGGTCAAACTGCTGGACGAGTGGGAGAAGTCCAGACGAGGTGGCACGGACGGTCTGTTGTCTGTCTTAACAAAGTAAGTGATGCTCCTCTAATTATGTCCTGGCAGTTTATGGTTGTTCAGTCACATGACCTTGTTCTGCTTTGTGTTTTCTACAGAATGTCTGAGGTGATTGAATGGGAAACAGCAGAGTATCACAAAACTGATCCTGATCCATTTGATGATCGTCATCCAGGTAATGAACCAAATGAGACATATATAAAAAAAAATGCATGAAATGATTTGGTGACAGTGGTCAATAAAATAGGTAATTGTTTGAGTTTCTTGTTGTGATGTCACAGGTCGAGCAGATCCCGATGGGATGCTGGGACAGATTCTCAAGACGATCTTCTCCAACAGTGACTTTACTGATGCTGTAAGAACTAGGGATGTCTGATGATAATGTTTTGACTATATGCCCATATTGTCCAAACACTTATAGGAATTAATAATTAAATAAGCTGCAGCACTGCCATCTAGAGACTTTCACTTTAATATACAGCTGTTTATCCCCAAAACTATTTTTAGGACACATCATTTGGGAAATGCAGGCATTGAGTTATCAGGTTTTCATTATTAGAGAAAAAAGCGATGACGATTCTTAAAGATATTACATAATATGCTAATATCGGTTCGATAATATCAGTCTGCCGATATTATCGGACATTATAAGTATTGTTTTTAAAAGTGTGAGTTATCTGACACAATAACCAGG